TATATGTAACCGTAAATTCTATCCTAACAGTTTCTTCTTTCACACTTCTCGTTTGTGAAACTCCCTTTCGTCTCCATGCTTTCCAACCAACTAATCTTCAAAAATGTAAATGCAACGTCAATCGCTCTTTACTGTCCTCCTGATTCATCTGTTTTTTCCTCCTCATTATTTATGTTTCTGTTCCTAACCACTTTGTAACCCATTGTATCTTAGTTGCTTTATTGCCTTGCATGAGGTGAAACCAATTAAAAAAAGTAGGGTTACTTCTCTCAGACATACAATCCAAGCAGAGCTCAATAAAATAAAAGGGGAAGAGTGGCTAAGTCAGATGGAAGTTTTAAAGATTCTTGGTTCTATAATTTTAACTTTTTAATCCTCCCCTGAAATGAATAGTTTTTGGACTTCTTATCCTACAGTAAACATTTTTGTCTTGTCTTGTCTCCAATAACTTTCTTTTAGAAGCTAATTTTTCGAAAAAAAAAAGTATTGACGCTTTCTGATTTATTTTGAAAATTAATGACAACTCAATTACAGTTTTATCAGTTGAGGCCAAGAGGAGAAATTTAGTTTTCTGTTTTTGTTGATCTTCCCCACTACTGTGAAAATGGCTACTTATAAATATGGCAAGTAGCCACATTAGAGTAGGATTTAAGTAGTATTTGAGTTTACTCTGGTTATTCCGTTCTATGTATGAGTATTTAATAAACCTCTTCTTCTTTGTTTTCCCTACTTAGTCTTCTCTTCCTTCGATACTCTCCCTACCGACGGCCTTCCTAATTCTCGGCTATTTCGAACAAAGACAATAGAACATGTTTCGTCCTCAATTACAGCTGAACGTTGCAGCATAATATTCATAATATTTTTTTAATGAAAATCTGATTCACAACATTTATAGATACATACAAAGAAGAAATGAATATATTTATTGCTATTAATTTATTATGAATAAGTTATGGAACAGTATTTAAAAAAAAAAAAATAGTAACGAGAGAATTTCAATGAAAATTGATTTGCCAGATATCCCGATGATTTTTACCGCAAATTTTCTCTTTGATTTTCCATTATGTCAACAAGGTCGCTTTTAATTTCGAAAAACTGAATGATAATACGAAGTTCTCGGCCCAACTCACTTCCCAAAATCTGATCAAAGGATCAACCATCAAAAATCCCTTCGTGTTCGGGTCGAGAAATTTTCAGTACTTTTCCGTAAAAGCATGTTGTAATAATTCTAGCGTTGTGCTCTGTACATAAAACTGGAAACATCAATTTCTATTAGAACATTGAAGTTAAGCAATGCTGATATTGGTCTATACTGAAACGAGTGACCATTTTGAGTGTTTAAATAGACTTTTTTTATTTTATTTTGACGAATTTCCAGATTCAAATATGCGGAAATACAAAACTGGATATTTATCTCCAGTCGTTTTATTTATTTATTTATTTATCTATTTATTTACTTATTTATTTATAAATGTGCCTATTTATTTCAAGATTCAGTTATAAAACACGTGACTATCGTTCGCGATAGAAACCATTTTGTGAATGATATTTCTTGTTGAAAAGTGAAATATTTTAATGTATGCAGAAACACAAATTATATGCAAACGTGTTTCATGCAATCAAAATGTAATTAATTATAATTAATAAAATATTGAAAACATTATTTGGTGTTTCTTTCTTTCTTTCTACTTATTTTTCGATGTACAAATTCTTTTTATAAGAAAACTATTCGCAATTTTCATTTATATTAATTTTAAATCATTATTTATTATAATAATTATTGTTATTGTTTATTATAATTATTATTATTTCCTTTGGTTTTTGTTGTATACTTATTTCTTTGCGGGTCCCAACCAGAGACCTAAGGTCAGAAATGGCATCATGACATAAAAAAATAGACAACCTAAAAAACACACACACATTTTACACTGATAAAGCCCTTCGGAAAGTCTGAGCTGTACTTGTGAGAACATTTGCTCGTATTTCTTTGACATTGGCTACTGAGATCCCTTCAATGAGGCTGTGAGAACATTTTCCAATCAATCCGAGGGCTCCAACTACAACTGGAATTATGGAAGTCTTCATGTGCCACATTTTTAAAATTTCCACCTCAAGATCCTTGCATTTTTGAAGATCTTCAAAGATATATTACAGTCTGCATATTACTTGTCAATGTCAATATCTTTTTTTGCGGTTTTGATCACCATATCTGGGCGATTAGTTTTGTTTTGTCTGTGTGCATTGTAAAGTCCTATGAAATTGTTACAAGTTCTTTAAAAATTAACTAGATTTTCTAACGTGATGAATTTCGAAATCGAACTGGAAAATTACAAGTATTTGCTAAAATAATTATTAAGTGTTGTTTTTTCTGTCTAATCAGAAAGAAAATAACGTGTTTTATTAAATTATACAAGCATAATTCTTTTAAAAATTATTTTAGTTTTATTGAATTATTTTTGGCAAAATGCTGGCCGAATTTTTGGTATGTTCAAATTTGAGATTAAGTAAATGTTTCAATGAAATTAAATATCTTCAGAGATTTTTCTTTATAAAAAAATGGGAGAACTCCTCAAATTAAAAAGTACACACAGGAAATCGAAAAGCTGGTGGAGGGGGAGTGAAATATATTTTCCAAAAAATATTTCCCCTAAAAAACACCCTATTCCATAAAAATTTAATTCATTGATGTATAAATACTGAAAATTTCGTTTGATAATTCCCTGATTTTTGTTTTTGGCAATTATTTTAAAACAGACGGTAGCAATTTTTTGCTTTCATTTCGGGAAAAAAAAGCATCCATTTTGGTGGTAGTGATCGTGTTTATATACATTTTTGGCGCAAATTTAAAAAACGCCCTTCTTAAGGGTTTCTTCATATAAAGTCGGGTCTTATGACATACTAGGGACCCATACGTATGAATTTTTTTATCATTTCACTCCAAGAAAGGCAATAAAGCCACTAGGATGCAAGTGTTAGAGAATATGAGAAAAAAACACTATCAAGGAGAAGGAACAATAGAAAAATCAGGAATTAAGACAGTAAGGATTAGCATTTAAATTTTTGAAGAACAAAGTTAACTTGGAAGAAAGAAACCGGAAGATAGTTCCACAAACAATAAGTGCAGAAGAAGAAACTGTTAACATAAAACTTACGGTTACATCTAGCCATTTCAATTGTAAAGTGATGAGACCTTGTCACCAATCAAGTACTGCGCTTAAATGAATAAAGTCTAGGTACCATAGAGGAAAGTTCATCAGAACAGTTACCGTGAAAATATTTATAGAAAAGACACAGGGAAGCCACTAAGATATAAGTGTTTACTGAGTATTAGAGAATATGAGAAAAAAACACTATTAAGGAGAGAGAACAATAAAATATCAAGAATTAAGAAGACCGAAGATAACA